TTCTACTGTCTTGGCTGTCCCCATTGACCTTATGCTAATCAAGGGCCCTATATTTAGGCTTTCATTCTTTCCTTGATCTTTAGGTTTTCCTTTTCTTTGTGATACAAGATTAAGTTGTAGAATAAGAATTGTAGTAGGAACTTCTATTGTTTTTAGATAAAACAAATGGCAGAATTATCCTTAGAAACACCTGCTTGACCATGATGTAAAAAGTCTGAGCCAGAGTTTGACTGTTACTGTATAAATAAAGCAGACAGCTTTGCCACATTGTCCATTATGATCATGAAATCCTAGTGGTCCGTCTTTCTTTCCTCTTTGCGCCTCATCCATGTACCCTTCGCAAGTTCGGAACTCAGCTGGGCTCTGGCAGTAAAGCACAAGCACCTCAATGTGGGTTCCTCCCTTCTTCCCCTAGCATCCAGTCTGCTGTCACCCCCGGATAGCAGCGTGCCGCGTGTGCCCCCTTGTCACACTCCGCTGTAGCCAGACAAAGCAGTTTACTGCACTGCGTGCTCATGGGACCTTCTGTTTCAGTCTTCTTTCATTTGATAACTGTTTATTGTTTAATGCTTAATATTTGGAGTACCATGTGGGATGCTCATTATACAAGATAGATCCTACCCAACATAAGGAAGCTTTTAATCTAATAGGGGAGTTAAAACACCTGTTTAAACATGGTAACTGTGAGGCTTTGAATTCACATCAGTGCATATAATTGATGCAAACTAAATACAATGAGAATATGGAGGAAGGAATTATTTCCAGTTGCAAATGGAAAAAAGCTTATAGACTGCTAAATTAGGAAGAACTGTTGTATCTAGTCTTGTAACTATTACAGAAAGCGAATTCATTTTCCTTGATGAGGTATACTTAATCTGCTTAGTCTATGGTATTTAAAGCTTTTCATAAAAGCATGGAGTTTAACTCATATCTAAGAGTAATCATGTCAACTACTACCCCTTAATTGTCTAAGAGCTGTTATTCCATCCAACCTTGGAATTTTGAAATATGGCCTGGAAATTTAATAGAAATCTAAAACTGTGTGACACTTTTAGCAATACCATAATGTTGGGAGATATTCAGACTTGGGGAGCATGTGATAATATAAAATATGAAATCATTCCCAATTAATTTCCCTTGGGTTTGAATGTACTCATTGTCACATTTGTAGCAAAGTTTAGAGAAAACATTTTTGTAAGTACAAATAATCCTGCTGGCATTTCTCCCTGTCCTGCTCCATGAGGTTTCAGTGTCCTGTCTGCTGAGAAACACACAGGGCGGGGCCGCAGGTGGATGCTGAAACGTGTTTTTACTTTCCTCTCCACCTCACCCTGCTAATTGCTGTCTGTTCTGTTGGCTGAGCCGCCCTGGGGTGCCTGCCCCTGTGGGAGAATCCTTGCTGTGTGTGTGTGTGTGTGCCAGTCTCACCTGCAGGGCTGCAGGAGAGTGGAACTGGAGAGGAGCTCCTTGGCCTGGCTCACCCCGGTCTTGGAGACCTTGTCAGTCAGCCTGCCTGTGACTGACTGCCTATGCAGTTTTATTCAAACGCTTTTCAGAAAGTTCTTTTGAAAATGTCTCATAAAAAAACAACATGAATCTTACATGAGTTTCTGCAGTGGCGTGAGTTTAACTTTTGAATTCTGTTTTTCCGTGAACTTTTAAAAAATATTGTGTTTATTTTTGCTTTTTTAAAGAATTATTTGTTTTTATTGGAAGGTCAGATTTACAGAGAGGAGAGACAGAGAGAAAGATCTTCTATCTGCTGATTCACTCCCCAAGTCGCTGCACCAGCTGGAGCTGAGGTGATCCAAAGTCAGGAGCCATTTAATAATTAATGTTATATTAGTTATGTATATTAGTTATTTTATATCATATCATATATTATAATATAATTATATTATGCATTATATGTGTGTACTATTTTATATAATTATATTACATTATAATTATAATATAGAATTCTAGATAATATATGACATGTTATATATTATATGATATGCAATATATCATATTATATACACATTATATATCATATCATCTGTTTTAGGGTTGCCATATCCCATTGAACATTTTTGTGTGTGTTTTTGCTGTTTTCAGTAGTTTAATGGTAAGATACAAAGTATGATAGAACCTGCCTAACTTCCTAGGAAGGTTTTTCTTTTTTAAGCTTTCTTGAAAGTTTCTTCTTGTGCTAATTCTACTTTTTAAATAGTAGTTAATCTTGTCTCCTTCATCTGAGATTATTTGTTTCTTAGTGGAAATGACATTATGTGTACCTTCGTCTACCTTCGATTTCAAGAGGATCGATATTTTTAGATTAACTGTCATTCCAGAACCAAAATACAGCTTCCTCTTTGTGTGTTGCTTTTTATATACATTTCATGTAATAATATAAAATTTGTCACAATTCTGAATAACTGGTATTATTCTTAGTTACATATAAATTTTGCAAGTTTTTTTTAAAGATTTTTTTTTTCCTAAAAGGCTAATTTTAGAGAGAGAAAGGGAAAGAGAGAGAGAGATCTTCCATCTGCTGGTCTGTTCACTGGTTCACTCCCCAAATGGCCGCACTGGCCAGAGCTGAGCTGTTCTGAAGCTAGGAACATGGAACTTTTTTCAGTTCTACCATGTAAATCCAGGGTCCCAACGACCTGGACCATCCTCTCCTGCTTTCCCAGGCCATAACAGAGAGCTGGATTGGAAGTGGAGCAGTCAGGACACGAGCCAGTGCCCATATGGGATGCCTGTGCCGCAGGAAAAGCACTAGCCTTACTCTCTCACAATGCTGGCTCTTAAATTTTACAAGTTTTATTATTAGATCTGCTAACTTAATTTACAGTTCTTTGAATTTTCTGGGTAATCACAATATAAAGATAATTGTGTTTTACATTTTTGATTACAACCTTTTTGTTTCACTGTGTGCATAGAATAGTTTGTCTCACCGTATGTAGAATAATAGTGATGGGTGCAGCTGTCTTCTCAGTAAAAGTGCATTTGTATTTTACAGTTTTCTGTGATGTTGACTGGTGACTTTTTATTGTCTTGCTTTCCCTTGGTGTGAATAACGTGAAACAGCAAAGAGCAGATGTCTAGTGTAACGAGTGTTGGCAGTGTAGTCCGTCACCCAAATGAGGTCGTTGGGCTCCCGTCTCAGCAGCCTGTCCTGGGTACCCGGGTTCTCTGCCTGCTCTTCAGAATGCAGGCAGGTGGACGCTTTCCCTTCTGGCCACAGATTAGCTCTCCTTTTCCATTTCATACACATGGAATTACAGTGAGGGTTTTTGTCTAGATTCTTCCATTCAACGCAGTTGAAGTTTCGTTCACATTGTTGTAAGTTCCAGGAATCCTTGAGTATTATTTTTCTGAGTACCATTCCATTTTGTACTTCTACCATGATCTTTGTGATTGCAGTAGCCTTACGGTACGCCTTGAAATCAAGCAGTCTTAATTCCTCCAATTTTTGCTCTTTTTCAAAATTGTTTTGGTTATTCTAGTCTGTTGCAATTCTGTATGAATTTTAGTAACAACTTCACGAAAATGCCTGCTGAGATTTTGATTGGGTTTGGAAAGTTTGGGGTGCGTGGCCATCTGAAGAATATGGAGTGTTCTAAACTGTGATCAGATAGTTCTTGATTTCTAACAGTCTTTGTCGATTTGATGGCATGTCACGCAGAGCAGTACATTCTCGTATCAGTGGTTGAGTCATCCTTAGGAAAACAGATGAGCGTGGGAGCCTCAGCACTGGTTTTGTTTGCAACCCTAAGATGAGATTTAGAAAATGCTACTGAAAGTCAGAGGCCTGCAGCTCATGGAGGGCAGAGAATTGGAGTGAGGGGAAATAAAGATTGAGAGTGAGAGAGAAGAGAAATAATTTGTTTCTTGTTTGAGAGAAGAGTGTTCTGGCTAGGAGGAAAGCCAGTGACCCAAGCCCAGGTTTGCTTTGGTCTCTGAGACCAGTTTGGGTGTCTGACTCGCAGTGCGGGAGGAGCTGATCAGTCAGCAGTTTGAAGCCTTTTGACTTCTCTGCCAGTGCTTTCCAGAAAGCCTGCCAGGACTTCGCTGGTTCTCCTGTTTTCATTAAAACTATGCCTTTTCTTTTTATGGAATAAAATGAGGGGCTAAAGATCAGTTATGGACAAGGGAGAGTGGTTAGGGCCTTGTAGACTCTCTAACAGGGCTTCACCCCATATCTCCCTGAACTTGAAGACAGAAGTGAGAGCGTGCTACGGAGCCTTGACCAGGTCCGCATCTTTCCGCTGATTCTGTCTTGCTTGGTATTTCAGGTAGTGTACTGAGTCCCACTTGTGTGGACCGGTGTGTGCTGCGGTGTTGCTAGCCTTGTCATTGGAGCTGACAAACACTTCCAAATTCTGTTTGGAGGATTTTTTTTTTTTTTTTGGTATATTTTTAGTATTTTCATTTAAAGGAACATATTTTAAATCACTAACATAATAGCCAAGATTTAAATAAGCCCCTAGTTTGATATCCAAAGAATAAATTTTAATCAAGAATCCTTTTTTTCTGAACTGGATTCTGTAGAATAGAGGTCCAAGTCTTTATGCTGTCATTGTACTAATCACTGTGAATTATAGTTTTCAGTGAAATTGATTTGGTTTCCATTGGTTTCTTCTTAAGAAAAATCAGTGAAAACTTTAAAAGGTACCTAAAGAATAACTGGTTTAATTAATTTCAACTCTTACAGCAGACATTTAAAATTTGGTTTTAAAAGAGAATATTTTAGTCATTGACGTCAACTTATAGATCTGTTTAGTGAGCACAGTTTGGCGTGTGTGTGTGTGTGTGTGTGTGTGTGTCTACCTACTTACATATATGAATATAAATGTATGTATAACAAGATTTTCCCCAAGCTAGGGGCCTTTTGTGTTATGTTTCACATTGCAGTGGGAGAATATTTGAATAACTCTGTATACTCCTCTTAGAAGTAATTATGTAACCAGGAACTAAAGTCCTTTTTCTCCTCCTCTCTCTGGTTATTTTAGGGTAACCAGGAGCCAACAACAACTCCTGACGCAATGGTTCAGCCTTTTACTACCATCCCGTTTCCACCACCTCCACAGAATGGAATTCCCACAGAATACGGAGTGCCACACACTCAGGACTATGCCGGCCAGACCAGTGAGCATAACCTGACGCTCTATGGCAGCACGCAAGCCCACGGGGAGCAGAGCAGCAACTCGCCCAGTACCCAGAACGGCTCTCTCACGGTAGGTCAACGAGAAGGCAGACAGCAGTAGGTTGGGTGGCTGTCATACTGGAATCTTGACCTTCTGACGAGACTAGAAAACCTTCAAATTAATTTAGTATTTGCCTACTATTACATCACAGTGATGTAATCTCAACTCTGCTGCTAGCATTGTAATTAGAAATAGGGATGTAGAGTTTAAACTTGTGGCCATGACCCAGGAGGTGAGGCAGACAAGGTAGCGAGGAAAGGGCAAACTGCTCTTCCCACCTCCCTCTTGACCTGCAGCCAGAAGCATCTTGGGGTCCCTTCTTTGCCCCTCTGTCCATCTCAGTAGCCTGTCCCGCTGGGTCTCTCCCTGCTCCTGACCGGAATCCAGCACTTGGCTTTGGCACTAAATTCTACCAATCCTGCTCCCCACCTCCCCCACCCCCGCAAAGTGTTGTGTGTTTTGCTGCTTCTTCCTTCTCTGTTCTGTTTCTCTTTCTTTCTCTCTTTTAAGATTTATTTTATTTTTATTGGAAAGGCAGACAAGATTTACAGAGAGAAAGATCTTCATCCACTGGTTCATTCCCCAAATGGCCACAATGGCCAGAGCTGAGCCATCTGAAGGCAGGAGCTTCTTCAGGTGTCCCACTTTGGCACGGGTGAGGGTCCCAAAGCTTTGGGCCCTCCTTCACTGCTTTCCCAGGCCATTTGCAGGGAGCTGAAAGAGAAGTAAAACAGCTGGGTCAGGAACTGGTGCCCATCTGGGATCCTGGCACTTGCAAGGTGAGGCTTTAACCACTGAGCCGTCACGCCAGGCTACTCTGATCAGCTTCTAAATGTTGCACTACTCCAGTTTGCGTGCTGGATCTATTTTTCCTCTTACTGTATGTCTTCCCCTGAATATCATTATAAAGTAGGATCCATTCTTTTCTTGTTTTTCTACGTTGAATCCATTAGCAAACCTTGGCATCTGTGACCAGAAAACATTGCCCTGCTTAAGCCTCCTCTCGGTGTCTTCCGGGTACAGATGGAGCGGCTTGCCTCTTGTGCCATGTTGTAGGTTTTGAATTCCAGTATAGCCTCTCTGTGACCTTGAGCCAATTATTTACTCTACCTTGGCTTGCTGTCAAATAAAGATAATAGTGCCCGCCTCAGGCGACTGCTAGGCAGTGTGGAAGAGTTTATGCAAGTTGTTCACCCTTGTCAGTAGCATCGCTGCCCAGACCTCATCACGTGTTTCCTGGGTCACTGCCTTCCAACTCATCCACCCTTCACAAAGCAGGCAAGATGGATCTGTTTTTAATACAAGCCATGCTGTTTTCCTGCTCAATTCTTATAGTCCCTAACTCAAAATAAAATTCAAACTCGGTTTCTAGATGTGTAAGCCCTAGCCACAGCACACGTGCTTGACTTTAGTGGGACAGCAGGAAGAATGTTACAAGTAAGACATATCACCAATTAATGATAAGCATATATCACGTACATATCAGGTTACAGAAAATTATGTTGTCTGGGGAATTGTGTAAGTCCAAAGATAAAAGTACTCTGTTCTCTGCATAGAAGGACCTAGCTGTAGTTATATATTTTTTCTCATTTTTCTGGATCAGATTATCAGCCTATAAGCCTCTTGGTATAATTTATTACAAAGAGCCGTATGGTGGGAGCTCTTTTGCATAAGGATGGATTGGATTTGCATATACTTTCCATTTCCTTTTATTAAATTTTGAACCACCAAGAAACCCCTTCTTTCCTTGAAAACATCTTTTTGATGTTAATTTTGTATGTAAGTACATTTTATAGTTCAGAAACAGTGAACTGCAGTAGATAATTTATTTGAAGAGTGTAAGCATGACAGGTAACAAATGAGGCTTGTTGTACCATTTGTCCTAAGATCAGAAATACATATGTGAATATATTGGCTGCACTTGCAAATAACTTCAGATGATAATGAATTTACAGGCCTGCCAGATCAGTTGCTTCAACCAAAAGAGTAGGAAAGAACATACACTGGAGACTTTTTTGAATTTTTAAATTTATTTAAGAGCCACATAGAGAGCCTGACGTAGGAGCCTAGTGGCTAAAGTCATATGGGTACCAGTACCAGTTCATGTGTCCCAGCAGCTCCACTTCCCATCCAGCTCCCTGCTTGTAGCCTGGGAAAGCAGTCAAGGCCGGCCCAAAGCCTTGGGACCCTATCCTGCGTGAGAGACTTGGAGGAAGCTCCTGACTCCTGGCTTCAGATCGGATCAGCTCTAATCGTTGTGGCCACTTAGGGAGTGAACTAGCGGATGGAAGATCTTCGTATCTCTCCTTCTCTCTGTGTATCTGCCTATCCAATAAAAATCAACAATTTTTTTAAGAGTCACATACAGAGCATGATAAGCCCCATCCACTGCTCACTCCCTACATGCCAGCAGTGACCAGGACCACACCCAGCAGTCAGGAACTCAATGCAGGTCTCCCACGTGGGTGGCAGGAACCCAGTTACTTGAGCCATCACCTGCTGCCCGCCTGCCAAGGTCTACACTGGCAGGCGGCTCCAGTCAGGAGCTGGTGTCCAGAACTGGGCACCCTGAAGGCAGGGGGAGTCGGGGGACACGGGCATCTTAACTGCTAGGCTAAACACCTGCTTCTTTGTTCAAGCTGTTTAATGACTGAGTCTCTTTATGTGTTAGTTAATAGTCTTTCTGTTTCCTGCTTTTGTCTTGCTATTTTCTATTGCTTGTCAGTTTGGGTAATTTTTGTCTTTCTAGACATGTTATCTCATCGAAATTGACAGTTTTATTGGTGTAAGGGATTCATGATTATCTCATTCTTTTCTGTAGGGTCTGTAGGACATACTCTGCTTTCATTCTTTTCCTTTTTTAAAAGAATGGGAAATGAAGCAGCAGGTATAAAATCAGTCTTTCTCACTTTCTCATTCTCTCTCAGTCACTCTCTTTACCTTTCAAATAGATGAAAATGAATAAATAAACTGGAAAAATCAAGACACTAATTTTTTGCTTGTCTACTCCTCCATCCTTAGCAACCCATGACAACCACTGATCGTTCTACTCTCTTCATAGTCTTGCCTTTTCTAGAATGTCATATAGCTAAAATCACACAGTATATAGCTTTTCTGATTGGCTTCTTTCAGTTACTAATATGCATTTAAGTTTCCTCCCTGTCTCTCAGGGCTTCCCGATTCATTAACCTTTGTGGCCTAATATTCCATTCTGCATGTACTACAGTTATACATTCCCTTACCAGAGGACATCTTTCCAGATTTTGACAGTCATGAATAAAGCTGCCAGAAGCACTCATGCATAGGGATTTTTGTAGACATAAATTTTCAACTCCTTTGATTAAATACAGAGTGTCTGATGGCTGGATTATTTGGTAGGAGTGTGTTTTACATTTGTAAGAAATGCTGCACTACCTTCCAAAGTGGCTGCACCATTTTGCACTGACAGCAAGGAACAAGCTCCAATTGCTTAGTAGTGTTTGGTGAGATATGGTCCTGCTGACAGTCATGTAGTGGTACCTCCTAGATATTGCACCTTGCATTTCCCTTGTTGCGTGTGACATGGAACATCTTTTCATAGACTTATTTGCTATATGTCTCATTCGTATTGAGGAATCTGTAACGGGCTTTCGCCCATCTTTTAATTAATTTATTTTTAAATTGAATATAGAGGCCTTTGTATATTTTGAATAGTAAATTTTTTTAAAGATTTATTTATTTTTATTGGAAAGGTAGATTAAAAAAAAGAGAGAGAGAGAGAAATATCTTCCATCCATTGGTTCATTCCCCCAAGTGGCCATAACAGCAGGAGCTGAGCCGATCAGAAAGCACGAGCCAGGAGCTTCTTCCTGGTCTCCCTTGCAGATGCAAGGTCCCAAGGCTTTGGAAAGCAGGCTTTCGACTGCTTTCCCAGGCCACAAGCAGGAAGCTGGATGGAAAGTGGAGCAGCCAAGACACGAATCGATGCCCATATGGGATTCTGATGTATGCAGGGCAAGGACTTTGGCCACTGAGCCATCATACTGAACCCTAGATATTAAATCTTGTTTTTTAGTAAGGGAACCTGTTTGAGTCTTGGCTAATCCACTTGCTTTTTTCTTTTTCTTTTTAATTTTTTTTTATTAGTAAGTCAGATATACAGAAAGGAGGAGACAGAGAGGAAGATCTTCCCATCAATGGGCATTGATGGAAGTGGAGATGGTTGGGTTGAACTGGGCTTCAATGCCCATTGATATGCATAAGAGCTGAATAGGATGTGGGACAGACTGGACTAGTCTGCTGTACATACTGACAAGCGCAGGAACCAGGGCAGGGGGCGGGACTGGTGGGGGTTATTGTGGATCACTCCAACTAGGCTGCAGTTCCCATTGGTTTATGTGAGGGCCGAGTGTGTGCCGGGCAGAATCAGACTGGACTGCAACACCCATTGTTTCATGTGGAAGACAGCACTGGAAACAGAACCGACCCAACAATTGCAACTACCAGCTGATCGGGGTGATGGACCGTACCGGATCCTGTACTTGCAAGTACACACAAGAATCTGGCCTGGGATTACCTCAGATAAAGTTTCTTTTGGGATCTCCCCAGTTGAACTACCAAACTCAGAACCCTAACCATGAAGAGAAGTGTAGGTTCCATGGTCTGCCATGGAGAGCAAGTGCCAGAGCCGAGGCTGCTAAGAGGCTCGGATGAAGCAGTAGAGAGCATAACCAGGTGCGCATGGAGGATATGGCAGTCTGTTGGAACCTGCAGCGGATACCTGGCACCACAGAACAAATCAATCAGTTACCCCAGCCATTTGTTGGCAGTGAAAAACTGGAGAACTCTAAGGTGGACTATGTCAATCAGTGCATTCTGCAGTGACCTCGTCGTGCGTGGAATGGCGAGATTGGCAGCAATTCGTAACTGTTGAACTATCAAAACCACTTGGGCAAGACCCTCAGAGCATGCCCCACATCAGGGACCTGACATAGGTGGGAGACTGAATGGGGCTTCTCCCTTTATCTCCCCCTTTACCCCAGATACAGGAA